TCCGCTCGGCGCATATTTTTACTTTTCCTAAAGTCATTGTTTTCATTCTAGATACTGAAATGCATTTCCCAACTTGAATTGGCTCAACTTATCGGTACTGGTGTGAAAACGCGATACCTTCACACGGCGTCCAGCGGTGTTACTAATTCACCCACAGCATTCATCGCAAACAACAAGACACCTTATGATATAACCTCAGGTTGCTTATAACATTGTTGTGACGCTCGTAAATGTCAAATACTAACGTTGTGCTTTTCTTTGTTTGTATTTCTATGAAGGTCGGATGCCTGTTGCCGCTGACTCGAAAAGCGGCTGGCTCACAGGAAGCCATTTGGGAGACCGCTGCACAAAGTGTTGTCGTTGCAGTTGACTGGTAACGTTTACTTTAATGATAGCTATGGGGATTGTCTTTGTGACCTATCTCCCACCCCAGGGGCGAAGCTAGAACTTTAATGCAGGGGGAGAGGTGAATATTCATATATATGGTCATACATTCCGCTGTGACCAACTAATTTCTTTTCAAATTAAAATAGCTTTTAAACCAAATCAGTCAAGCAAAACTAAATATTCACCCTCCCATCCAGCGTTCTTGCTTCTTCCCTTCCCCCCTGCCAGAAATCTTTAAAATTGTCTTCAAGGTAGAGTTGGGCTTGTAACAGCAAGAAATGTTGATGGATGATTCTCTATGTAGACATGTTCATTATCCGTGTTAGCAGAGTCCTGAGAAGGACTGTTATTGTTATTGTTGTTTTGACATCCTTAGCGGTAGTCATCTCTCAGGCTTAAGTGAACCAGAGAACCTTGAATATAAACATGAAAATAAATTTTAAAGAACTCCTGCACTGTCTTTGCGTTATGTTCTCTCAGCAGAATATCTTCATCTCAACTTCTTCATTGTGTTTTATTACGTTTAGAGTTTTCACGGGATCAGTGAAACTGGATGGTGATGCTATCGGTAGGTTTGCATGTATACATTAAAATGCATCTTACATAAGATTTTTATACATCTAACTTGACCATAATTCACTGACCATTGTTTATCCTAAGTACCCAAATTTCTAGTATCCAAATTCCTGTTCCCAAATACCAAAACCAAGTATCCAAATCCCAAGTATCCCAAATCCCCAGTGTCCCAAATCCCCAGTATGCAAATCCCCAGTTCTCAAATCCCAAGTATCGTTATCTCCTGTATCCAAATCTCAAAATGTTTTCGTTTTTCCTAAGTCGATTTCGTGGAAGGTTTACGTCAAGTCTCGGAAGTTCAGCTTTCCAATCCTACAATGATACGTATGTTTAGTCTGCAGAAGATCGTAGAGATTGCTTATTACAATATTGTTCGTATTCTGCAATGGTCACGAATATGGGCTGTGTTGGGAGATCATTATAACAAGGTTAGCAATTATTAACGACTAAGACTGTATCTTGATATTATGGTTAATAACATCACGTTGTTATGATGTACTCAGGTATAGTAACAAGATAATCATTGTCTTCAATGTTCTATGAACTACACTATCAGATCAATTGTGAACTATGATGATATTTTAAAACACAGTTCTAGTTTCATATCTCAAGCATAAAAACAATATAATCAATGCCTTCATCTCCAATGTTCTACCAACTATAGTACTTCTCCATCTTAGATAATTCATGTGTCATTTTAATGTGGTTGTAACTCTAATAAAGAAGGCGTTCTTCTTTGCGACAATTATCCATGAAGTTCTTGGAAAAGGGGGAATTGCCAAATTTCCGATTTCAAAAGGATTTTCTCCGACCCTTCGAACACATAATGAAGAAAAACAGGTAAGTTTATGCAGGAGTCAATTCTGTCAGAAAATGTAAATTTTCTTGCAGCTTGAAAATCTTTCTCTCAAATAAACAAAATTTGTGGCAGACTTTGTAGATTCTTTTCCAAGTTATAATTTTACGACGAATTTTACAAAGGACGTCTTTCGATCAATCGCTCTGTCTTGTCTCTTATAATTGGAAGGATTTGATTAAAATTCTTTCTTCAATATCTTTATGAACTTGGCAACAAGGACTGCAATTTTCAGTCTACGATTTGCTTGAATCAACAACTGGATTTTTCACATTTTAGTTCTTCCACAATTCGAGATATGGTCGTACGATGTGTCACACAAATGGTTCATTCGCAAGCCGCAAACATCAAATCTGGTTGGAAAAATGTTTTCTCCGTTTTTCATTTGGCTGCGTCCGATCATGATGAAGGAATCGTGGAACTCGCTTTTCAAACAACAGGTTTGTAGTTTAAGGAAGGAGATTTTTCTTCTAATCTTACCGCCGACCTGTCTGTTGTTCTCTTGGGTGAGGTTCTTGTATCGGTGCAAATTTTAAAATTTTAAAATAAAAATGATTGCATATGTTTGAAGAAATGATGGTGAATCCGTTTCCAAGCATGAACGACTTAGACATCTGTAAAATATTGAATTAAATTCAAATTGAATTTGAATATCGCTTAAGTAAATGTGTTTCTCGGATGTGACGGAGAACTTCGTTTATTTTGCAACAAGAATTTTATGTGTTCGTTCTTTCCATGGTAATTCAGCCATATTCGTATAAGTTTTCAAGGTAAACTTTTTATTTACCATAAAGTCGATGGATTATCTTCTCATGATTCATGAATGATAATTAAACGAGAGTTAATGGAGAAATGAAATAAATGTATGAAACAGTTTTAGTTGATGCAAATTACGTGTCAAAAGGCTTAAACTTTTCTAGCCCTGTTTCTCTACTGTTTCAACGTCACTTGTAAATCAAAGCTTTGACAGATTCATTTATCCCACAAGATTATCAGTGTATAAATTTCTACATCCCCATTCTCTCTTTCAGCCACGATTTTTGAGAAATATTTCTCCGCGACCATCGACTCTTTCCAAGATGCCGTCAGTGTCTCTCGAATTCGCATGCAACGCAAGTTTCCCGGACACGAGTATGGAAGCAATAAGACTGATACGAAATTGCGCCAAATTTCTTTCCGAAAATCCTGTAGTACGACAATTGCAAATCTACTTTCTTTTCACCTTTGAAATTTATTTGAAATTTTGCAAAATCACATCAAAGCTAACCACTTTGGATCAAATCAAATCCTAATTATCTATTTCAATCGCTTTTTCGTGTAGCATTTTTCAATGGCGTCTGTTTTCTTCTTATATGATATTTAAAGACTACGGAGTAGAGAATGCTGGGATATCAGAGCAGGACAGAATCTGTGTGAAAGGCTGGTTTCCAGTCCTTTGAACTTTCGTGTATCATCAACCGATGTAAACTAGATGTCAGAACAAGGTATGGTGGAAATATTGAGTTGTTTGTACTGTATAGATTAGTATGCATTGTATAATTTGAATGTGAGCTATTTTCCATCCATCAACTAGAGGCCTAACCGTGATGTTTGAAATCATGAAAACATACGGGAACACGTTTCTCCAACATTGGTGGCGTGATGTGTTTAAAGTCTTGTTTCGAATTTTCGACAACATGAAACTACCAGACAGACAGATAGATTGGCAGGAGGTTAGAAAACTGTCATTATTTTGCTCTTATTATATGGCAAGCGTCACTTCCGGCTAAATGGCGCGCTTTGATTCGCTGAGAAACATTTTTCCGGTCCATTATTCTCCGAAATCGACCACGTTTCAAACGCGTAATTTATAATATGTCGTTATTTTGGTCTTATTGTCTATGATTGCCATAAACACACATTATATCGCAAAAAGTCAACTTACATACACGACTATCCAGTTCCACATGGAATAATATTCATTTCATGTGTTCATGTCTATCCACCTTCATTCCTCAATCACTCATCCATTTCAATTGTGTATCCACTCCATTGAACATGCTACCTGTAATAGAAAACCGTAGTAATTTTTGAAGCCAAATTTTACACCCAGACACGCGGGTGTAGTTCAATCAATTTTCACTGCGCGAGAGAACTCAAAACACTAAACACGCGTGTCTGGATGTAAGATTTGGCTTCAATTATTTGCTTCATGTAGCGTTCCATGTATTTTAGTTCAATGATCCTCTCATCTTCCTCTATTTCTTATTCACCTTTATCCACTTTCATTCTAGAGTCTCTACTTCATTCTCTATCCATTCTTATCCTCTTGCATTCCCTATTCACACACCGATTTCATTTTGTGTAAAACGATTTGTACCAGTATGGAAGTTTTGAAACACTCGTTTGTGAAAGTTACCCACCTGTAAAGAATGCTTTTGCCTTTAAAACCGGAGGGAGTAGTTTTAAACTACGGGAAGGTCGTTTCCTTTACATAGAATAAAGTCCGTGTATAAGGTGTTGTATTTCCTCGTTATAAAATGAGACATCAGCTGAGGTTGTTTTGAAATTTGTGATGTTTCTTTATAGAAATCAGAATGGATGACAACAACTTGTAATCACGCTCAATCTGCTATCATCGATGTTTTACTCAGTATTTTGATATTCTTGCTGAAATTTTTCTTGATGATATGTATGGCCATCTAGAGTGGTGTGTCAAACAAGGTAAGCTTGAAATTACGCAACGTGTTTGTGCTTGGCATATGCCTTGGTGATTGGTTCGTTGTGTCAGAACCAATCACCAAGTGATTGTCCTGCTTTGTTCGTTCATTCAATACATGTCCTGCCTTTCTCGTTCATTCAATATGTCCTGCTTTGCTCGTTAATTGGTGATGTCCTGCTTTGCTCGTTCATTCAATACATGTCTTTAGATAACGAGCAGTTAGCGAGGTCTGGTACCAATTGTTTGGAAAATCTCGTCATATCCATTGGCAACACGTTCTCCGAAGACGTCTGGGAAAAGACATATCAATGTAAAAACGATATTTGAATCAACCGTACCTCACGAACTATTGAAATGGTGGAGTCCACCACACCTGATGTCACTCCTCCGTCATCACCACTCAAGATAAGCACTTAGGGCCTGATTATACGGAGGCGAGCTGCCGGATAGCGAGCTAGCCCCGATGATTTCAAGGGATTGAAAGAGCCAAAACTTCAAGGTTAAAATTACAAATGTTTGCGAAGCACCACACGTCATTCTGGTTGTAATTCTCAAATTATGGCAAGTTGGTTGTTTTAATTTTAAATGTTTTGCGTAGTTATTAAATCAGAATTTTGTGAAATTGCTTGAGAAAATTTATCTGATAATAAGTATTGAATCGTTTCTTTAAAATTTCACTGTAAAATTTCAGACAAATTTTCATAACTATTCTGTTTGTTTTATGTATTTATTACCTTTTAAAATTGACGTATATTGTAGATAATGTTACCTGTTGACCTGGAGGATGATATCGTGCCCAAATATCTGGAAGGTAAATAAAAGTTTTGAATTCTTTTAAAGGAAAATGTTGCTTCAATTGTCTCCATGATTGTAGGATTGGAAAATATTTCATATGGTAAGCTCGCATATTAAAAAAGCTCATTTGAACCAAAAGCTCATATGAAGCAAATGTTCGCATATTACAATATAGCTCGTGTGAATCTTTAACTCGTATGGACAAACAGCTTGTATTCTTTGAGTAACAAGTGAAAATTTTTCCGTATATTTTTAGACGAGGACGAACAAGATGGTCAGCAATCGTCAAAGGTTTGAATGAAACAGAGGAGGAAATGCCTCAAGAAACAGTTGAAGAAACAAAAGAACAAGACAGCATCAGTTTACATATAGTACGCCTAGTTTACGATTTGAACCTGTCGAAGAACACGAACCAGGTAACTATGTGTTAGAAATCGAGATTAATAATTTGTTGTCACAGCCTGCTGCCATTTACGTGTTTAATTTATTTAATTTGTTTAATTTACTTTTATTTTATTTATTTATTTATTTATTTTGGTTTATTGAAAGGCGTAGAAAACGTATAATTGATATATGCGTTTGAAAAACTCAATCTGAAGTAAACAGCGACGTCATGTAACATTTCCTGAAACTGCTTATGTTCTAAAAATTTACATTTTTTGCAATGTTTGAAACAATAATGTTGTTAATTGTTGCTAATAGAACTAATAATGTTACTAATTTGTAATTATTACTACTTCTCCTTTTAACACTTATTTTCATAAAATGGCACTAACTTGGAACTCTGTTTTGCTTTATTTTTGGCATTCGTTGCTTATTTTATTTTATTTTAGAAGACTCTAATAAGATAAATTAGCCCTTTGTTTGACATATTCAAAAGTTCGATTTTTACCGACAAATGAAAAATCGTCTGTGCGTGAATACGGAAATGTTCAACAAACACCCGAGTGTCATTTTAAATTTTTCATGTATCTACTTTAACGTCGTAAAATCATCTCATTATTTTAGTTGTGCAGACGGAGAGGATGCTGTTCAATTCATTGATCATTAAGTGTGTCGTTCAATTGGAACTTATCCAAATGATCGACAATGTCGTCTTTTCCCGCACCAGCAAGCGAGAAGATGAAGATACTATGGCTGAATTACAGGTCAGTTATAATTGCGGTCATTGTAGGTAATACTGAGATAAATTGCTTTGTCGTAATGTTGTTATACCAGAGTCCCCTTGGTGGCATAACAAAGTTCTTAGCTGAAGTACAGAATATGTAATATACAGAAAAGTCACTTGTGTCGGAACCATTGATGTTTTATCCTCAAGCATATTGTGCGCATATCGATCTGGCATTATTCCAGCAAGGTGTTTTGCTTTTCACTTGTTTCCAAACACTAAAATGAACCGACGTCATTTCTTATATTGAAATATTTTAATTTCATTACGAAGTAATGACGTCATGTAATTGTAGTGTTTGGAAACAAATGAAAACCCTAAATATATCTTGCTGGAATAATGGCGGCCATGAGGACGCAGCACACTTGAGGCCCTTCTCTATAATTATTATTCTGTGGTTGTATTGGGGTGGTCACAAAGTCATATATGCATCTCTTAATCTGTAGAGAACAATTGATTTCACTGGAAGTTAAACAAAAACATGAGTATATGAACCTCCCTATTTATCGAGTTCACATTTGGTACCTCTTTCTTTAGACACGTAAAAATTTCAATAACTATCCTCAAGAGACTTTATAGAATAAACGATTTCTTGGGTTGAATTCCTTAAAGTTCGTTATGTTGTATGCAGGCTTGTAAGATCCTCTTTCACCTGATTGGTCAAACTGATTCTCTAAATCACCTACAATGTGTGGTCAATCATCTTTCACTCTTGATTACAAACTGATTCTCTAAATCACCTACAATGTGTAATAAATCATCTTTCACTTGATTGGTCAAACTGATTCTCTAAATCACCTACAATGATTTAGTAAACTCTTTCACCTGGTTGGTCAAACTGATTCTCTAAATCACCTACAATGGTGTAATAAATCATCTTTCACTTGATTGGTCAAACTGATTCTCTAAATCACCTACAACGGTGTAGTAAACTTTCACCTGATTGGTCAAACTGATTCTCTAAATCACCTACAATGATTTAGTAAATCCTCTTTACCTGGTTGGTCAAACTGATTCTTCTAAATCACTCTACAATGATTTGTAAATCCTCTTTCACCTGATTGGTCAAACTGATTCTCTAAATCACCTACAATGTTGTAGTAAATCCTCTTTACCTGGTTGGTCAAACTGATTCTCTAAATCACCTAGAATGATTTAGTAAATCCTCTTTACCTGATTGGTCAAACTGATTCTCTAAATCACCTACAATGTTGTAGTAAATCCTCTTTACCTGGTTGGTCAAACTGATTCTCTAAATCACCTACAATGGTAGTAAACTCTTTCACCTGGTTGGTCAAACTGATTCTAAATCACCTACAAACAGTAGTAAATCCTCTTCACCTGATTGGTCAAACTGATTCCACAAAATCGCTGATTGATGTAAAAATAGACAAATTGCAATTTTTACGAATTTTACTTTCCTTCGCGAAATACCAAAAGAAATCATAGAACTGAGCTATGTGATCACCGGAGTGCTATCGTGGTGATTACACTATTATATACACAATTGGAGTCGGACTATTTACTTAAAAAATAGCCATTTAAATACCATATGTAGCTACAACCGTGTTTTTCCAGAGAGTGATTGTCAACCATGATCCAATCAAATGCGCTCTTTGAGAGTTTTGCATCTTGGTTTTTGACGTTTATTTAACAAGAGCTGAACTTTCATACAATTTCATGTCTTGACATTGTTATAAGTAGCAACGATACACTGTAGTCAGAGTTGTTTACTTTCAATAATCGTACATGTCTCATTATAATTATTGACTTAGTTTTTCATTATTTCAGTGTCTCAACACTCCTCGACGAACCGGTAAACGAAAACACGACGGAATGTTTCCACATCTTACATCTAACCAACTGTTTTTGTTTTGCGAAGTGCTGGAGAACTCGTATAAGTTTGCTAAAGGCTTCAATTTTAACAGCAAGCTGAGGACGGCGCTTTGGAAAGCTGGTAAACGCTTCATTAATATATTGTACCATTTGACACGAGCGACACATTTTTGTACAATTTCTATTCGAATTGGAAATTAATACACGAGTAAAACATCACATTCAAAACGTTCAAGCAAAAGGCAAATTTGTGGCTGTCCTTCCTATTAGGGCACTCACTCCAAAAGCTGTACATGTCCGTATACCTAGACACCCATGCAGCGTGACCAAGTTTGTTTACCAGATTTGGTCGTATAAGCTTAAATTGTCCTCCCCCTTTCTGAATGTTGCATCTACATAAACAGGAGGAAAATTCTAAGGTCATTAGACTAAGTCTTGTGAAAAAGAAACATTTGCTTTTATGGTTTTTTTTTCTAAATAAAGATAAAAGAGGCAAATCAAAAAGAGGAGAATGAAAAACTTGATCCAGGTTTTATAGGACAGGAGTAAAGATGCCTCAGATTTTGCTGGACTTCCATCAAAACTTGAATCAGAATCCTCGGTGTCATAGGCTTGATGAGGACACTTTGATGTTGTCCATGTTTCTTCTCCTTTACGTTTAAGCGGGGTCCTCGATTGCTCGTACTCTGATAGCGTAATAAAACCAAAGGATAATCCGTTCCCTTTTATTTGGGGTTCTTCTTATCAAGGCAAAATAATTTGAGCAAATGAAAGTACCTTGTGCACCAGGCTTCGGGTTAAAGTCATCCGCTCTGCTGTTTGCAATTGTTTTCACCAAATTTCAGCAAGTGCTTGATCTTTGGGCCACTTATGAAAAACTAAATTTTCTACATGAGACCTCTTAACTTGGTAATAGGGATAGCTTATATCATTATCGCAATATCCAACTGCACAACGCGCATTTTACCATTTTGGCTATGACTGCTCACGGCTACTCGGCTAGTTTAGGGTTTAGTTCGTTTGACTTCTTATGAGATCCGCACATTTGCGAACCCAAGAACATCGCTCAAACGACGGTCAAGTTGTTCAAAAAAAAACAAATGTTTTCTTTAACTTTCCGCTTTTTGATTACCACAAAATTGGACTCACGTGTATAAAAAATTGCAAATAATAGTTTGACTATTAAAATGGATGAGTTTGAGAAATATTTTTGAAAGAAATGGCCAATATGTATATTGTATAAGGGTAATTTTTGCGCATTTATTAGTAATTTATATGGACGCCATGCGTGACCGCGCGCTCGGCGCAATGTTTTTGCACCCCCTGCAACATGGCTGCGATAACCTTGAAAAGGTCTATTATGAAGGATCACGGTGGTCTATTTTTACAATTTGAAGATAAATAAAAAAATCATGTTTCAACTAGGATTTTGTGATTAAATCTTTCAATTTTTTGTTCTCAATGTAAGAGGCCAAGTGCTGCAAGTAAATAGTTGGCTTTCACTCGTTATTTTTTTAAATGGATACTAAAATATTTCAGTTTCTAAAGAAAAAATTACAACATAATAATCTATTTTAAAAGCGTTCATTGAATTTAAAAGAAAAATCTCGCTAAGTAATTGCATGAAGCATAAAACTTCGCGATCAACAAAAAGCAAGAGACACCGTAACAGGAGTCAAATTGAAAAGAAAATTTTAAACTGCGACGTTATTTCAAACTGAATCAAAGGTTTTACCAAAATCAAAGGAGACCACTGTAAAATCTGTATTCTCGTTCAACCATTTTAACCAAAGTTACTGACGTTTGTAGCCCATGCAACTTAACTAACATATATTACTGAAAGTACTTAACAAAACGGAAAATGCCAAATGAGAAATTAATTTAACCTAGTGCAGAGAAGCCTAACCTCATCAAAGGAGCCTTTGTTAAAAGATATTATATCTTTCTTAAATGAAGTACGATTACTCAATGTTTCCTGTTTCTAGTTTGTTATTTGCATTTTTATTTGATGGAGAAACTTTTCCTTTTTGTTTCAATGCAATAAACCATATTTAATCATTAGTACTTTGCTTGAAGTTTTCTCTTGTGCCAAAGAAGACAAGTACCTCTAAAGTTTGAACGCTTCTACCAAGGTATTTATAAAACAACTAATATTTGAAATACCATCGATCAATTTTCTAAAAGCGATTGTCCCTCAAGTTTAGTCACGCTATGAAAATTTTCAGAACTTTATGATCATTTATTTCTTTGGAAACCTATTGTTTTCATTGAGAGTCTTTCACTGATTATCAGAAAGTTTAATAAAATCAATTGTGTTTTTTTAATGTACACCGTGAATGTTTATCGACATCAAAACAATGTTCTAAAGCTATTCATCCGACATCACTATTTACTTAATAAAAACTTAAACAGAGAAAAAACAACTTAAACTGTGTTTGCATTAGCCTGTACAAACGTGCGTATCTGAGCTACATGAATTATATCAATCAAAGATAATTTGCAAATGAATCATGAATACATGTTAGAGAAAAATTTTAAACTTTCTTGAAGTTGTCTGTTTCGCATTACTATTATTTACAAAAGAACTAAAAGATGTTTTTGTGTTTGTACTCGCTTATGTAAACCTTGAGACGTAAGTGAGAACTCTAGCTGGTGCAAACTGTCAACTTCTCGTGTAAAGCTTGCACTAACATTTTCCAGTTCTACAAATATCACTTCCGTTTGCTTAACCCTGTACAACAATTAAGCATCTTTTATTTCCAAATCCCATCCTATATTCAGTCTTTACAATCCTCTTGTTTAAATTTTTCGTGGGTGTGCAAGAGGTGAGGTGTGACCTTTCCTTACTAATTATCAATATACCAACAATTAAATTTTTATTTTATCTTCCTGTCATCCATTAATATCCATTCATATTATCCATTAATGTCCATTCAGTGTCCTTATTATGGCAGAAGCACAGACTGTCGCTGATATATATTTAAATTACGACTGCGGGAATTCGCTTTGTCGAATATCTTTCAAAGATTGATCAATGATTGGTCTAAAGTTGCCCAAGGATGTCAAGCTCCATTGAATTAGGAGCCATAACCAGTAAGTTGATGAATATGTTTCAAACTGTTTAGTTCTCTACATTTTCTGTTCATATCTATGCCACTGAAAGGACTGAACGTAGTCTATTATGAAAAACTGGGACATAGTCTATCAACATGAAAAAGGAACATGTCTCTTTTGTGCTGACAATGTTGATTATAATACATCTTTTATCACGCTTTTATATGAATAGTATCAATGTCATCTTGTTTTTATATGATTTTCCAGGTTCAAGAACGCAGTATTTGTATCAAAGGTCTGGAATGTCTCGTTTCTATTCTTAAATGTATGGTAGAATGGAGCAGGGATCTTTACTTTAAACCTGGTTCTCAGAGGCCGATAATTTTGGTGAGTTTTAACATCTTTATGAAACTGAAGAAACTCTGCATGCAGCTAATATAAACTTAATATTGTTATACATTTCGGATAACTTATCGCTTATGATCCATTGTACTTCTCTTTGATATCGGCCACTGAAGAATTTTGTCTCCATCAAGATTCCATCTTTCTATACTCTATCCCCTATTTATCGAAGGTACTCCATTATTTTCTTATACACACGTTAATGTTCTTAATCATAACTAGTTGTTCGACAATTGTAGTTAACCTCTCAGGATCTAAGTTATCCCTTTGGTTATCTTTTTTCCCTTGCTGGTGGCTCAGCGGTGATCAAGGCTTAAATTAATGTTTATAGTTACTGATTATTGACTCATGGCCTCAATGTTCTAGTCTATCTCTCAATAATCTATACTATCTTCCGGATAATCTAGGCTATCTGTTAATGATCTATGCTAACCTCTTAATGATCCATGCAATCCTTTATTGATCTTCAAATCATCATAGTTATTCCTCAATACTTTGTTTAATCTCTTCCATATAAATTTCCTGACAGATCTGGTTGATTCGTGCCTAACAATTTCTAAAAGGAAGCACCAAGGAGAGAAGAAAACAGGGGGAGCACGGTGATTTATAATCTCAAAAAATGGGGGGTAGTCACTTGTCTCTCAGAAGTACAAAAGCCATCGATAATGCTGAAGAATTTGAGACTCTTAAACAGAAGAGGAGACGAGAGAAAAGGGAATTTAATTGTAAGTTTGGTCAACAATTTGCTTATCTTTGTACTTTTATTCAATTTTACTATTTACTTTAAGATTTAACAAGAATCCATCAAAAGGTATGGAATTGTTTCAATCTGAAGGTCTCCTTCGTGAGACAGCAACCAAAGTCGCTCAATTTTACATGCAGATGATACACTAGACAAGGTGATGATCATTTAAGTGTTAATCTATGAACCATGTGTTAATTTTTTTTTTCATTTAACATCAACAATAATTTAGGACAGGTTTTGACGATTTCGGTTTGACAATGTTGATTATAATACATCTTTTTACATTTGCAAAGTGAGAAACATCGTCGTATGTTGTATTCTATGGAATGGAGCATGGAAAACGCCAAAACAAATGGAAGACGTGAGTCATATTCAGACGGATTTCGTCACTGCGACACAGATTGGTCACGTGAAGACAATGTTCAGGTACGGGTGGAGTCTGGAGGATAATCTATGTATGTAAGGATTGATTAACGAAGCGAATTGTGATGTCAACTTATATGGACAGTGCCAAGTACGGGGCGTAGATTTCAAACATGATGACATTCATCTTAATCTTGTTAAAGAAAAGACTTAGATTTTATGTAATGAATGTTTGCGATGACGAAGAGTAAATCTGTTTGATAATCTAATATATTAACTGAGCAGTGAATGATTTGACTGAATTTCTTTGAGATAATCCACTACTTAAGCTAAATCTGCTTCTTACAACCTGCCCAGTCCCCATTGTTAACCATTTTGTTTTGTGTGTTTAAGGTTGCATGGATCCGTTTCTTGCCGCGTTCAGCTTCAATCTACAAGACAACGACGATTCTTCTGTTGCTTTATTTTGTCTTGATGGAATCCGCTGTGCAATAAGAATATCTTGCATATTCAGCATGCCTGTAAGTTGATAAACATACAAAATGTGTTCTTTTTATATATTTGGTATGAAATAACGACATTAATGTTCTGCATACCTTTTCATCACCTGGTGACTTTTCTCGACATAAATATGTATTCAAAATATATGTTGAATGTTGAATTGTTGAAATTTATGAATATATTTACGTAGTTACATACACGTCATGTTCTTTGCGTGTTATATGTTCAAGGTTTAGATTATACTCATATGTATACAATAAAACAGATGTTTGTTTACCTTTGAATTTAATTGTCGTTTGTGTACATATATGGATATATCAGAATGCATGTGAATGTGAAATAATCTTTTCTTAAAAGTTTTTCAATGATTACAGCTAGTTATAATGATGTTAGGGAATATGAATGGAGATTTCTTTACCATTCATTTTTCGATACTCCTAATAACTCTTTTCACATTGTAGTTGGAAAGAAATGCTTTCGTACAAGCTCTATCCAGGTTCACTTTAATTACTGCGACCAGTGGCACGCATATTCATGAAATGAAAAACGAAGAACATGGAGACGATCAAGACACTTCTTACCATCGCTCAAACGGATGGTAATTACATCGGGAAGTCTTGGCTCGAGGTAGAGAGAATCATCTGCTATATATTATGGTTGGTGTCTACGACTGAAAATATGATCGATTGTTTTTCATCAAAGAAAAGTCTAGGTCTTGTCTGTAGTCTTATCTTCACGATATTGCTACAGTCTTTACCTTTCATTTTCCAAGTGCTTTGTTGACCGTATTTCATACCCTTCATCAGAGAATCGTATCACAAATGTATTTCTGTAATAAATATACATAAGAAAATGAAGTTTTTCTCAAGATATTTTTATTTGAAGATATTTTCTACGTATGTATTTAACGTTTATGTTCGTCTTGTTGAACACTCGTTTCGTTGCTCAAATGCTCGTTCCGCTCGGCGCATATTTTTACTTTTCCAAAGTCATTGTTTTCATTCTAGATACTGAAATGCATTTCCCAACTTGAATTGGCTCAACTTATCGGTACTGGTGTGAAAACGCGATACCTTCACACGGCGTCCAGCGGTGTTACTAATTCACCCACAGCATTCATCGCAAACAACAAGACACCTTATGATATAACCTCAGGTTGCTTATAACATTGTTGTGACGCTCGTAAATGCCAAATACTAACGTTGCGCTTTCTTTGTTTGTATTTCTATGAAGGTCGGATGCCCATTGCTGCCGCTGACTCGAAAGGGCTGGCTCACAGGAAGCCATTTGGGAGACCGCTGCACAAAGTGTTGTCGTTGCAGCTGACTGGTAACGTTTACTTTAATGATAGCTATGGGGATTGTCTTTGTGACCTATCTCCCACCCCAGGGGCGAAGCTAGAACTTTAATGCAGGGGGAGAGGTGAATATTCATATATATGGTCATACATTCCGCTGTGACCAACTAATTTCTTTTCAAATTAAAATAGCTTTTAAACCAAATCAGTCAAGCAAAACTAAATATTCACTCCCTCCCATCCAGCGTTCTTGCTTCTTCCCTTCCCCTGCCAGAAATCTTTAAAATTGTCTTCAAGGTAGAGTTGGGCTTGTAACAGCAAGAAATGTTGATGGATGATTCTATGTAGACATGTTCATTATCCGTGTTAGCAGAGTCCTGAGAAGGACTGTTATTGTTATTGTTGACTGACGTTTTGACATCCTTAGCGGTAGTCATCTTCAGGCTTAAGTGAACCAGAGAACCTTGAATATAAACATGAAAATAAATTTTAAAGAACTCCTGCACTGTCTTTGCGTTATGTTCTCTCAGCAGAATATCTTCATCTCAACTTCTTCATTGTGTTTTATTACGTTTAGAGTTTTTTACGGATCAGTGAAACTGGATGGTGATGCTATCGGTAGGTTTGCATGTATACATTAAAATGCATCTTACATAAGATTTTTATACATCTAACTTGACCATAATTCACTGACCATTGTTTATCCCAAGTACCCAAATTTCTAGTATCCAAATTCCCTGTTCCCAAATACCAAAACCCAAGTATCCAAATCCAAGTATCCCAAATCCCCAGTGTCCCAAATCCCTAGTATGCAAATCCCTCAGTTCTCAAATCCTATATCGTTATCTCCTGTATCCAAATCTCAAAATGTTTTCTGCTTTTCTCCTAAGTCGATTTTGTGGAAGGTTTACGTCAAGTCTCGAAGTTCAGCTTCAATCCTACAATGATACGTATGTTTAGTCTGCAGAAGATCGTAGAGATTGCTTATTACAATATTGTTCGTATTCAGTAATGGTCACGAATATATTGTGTTGGGAGATCATTATAACAAGGTTAGCAATTATTAACGACTAAGACTGTATCTTGATATTATGGTTAATAACATCACGTTGTTAATGATGTACTCAGGTATAGTAACAAGATAATCATTGTCTCTCAATGTTCTATGAACTACACTATCAGATCAATTGTGAACTATGATGATATTTAAAACACAGTTCTAGTTTTCTTTCATATCTCAAGTATAAAACAATATAATCAATGCCTTCATCTCCAATGTTCTACCAACTATAGTACTTCTCCATCTTAGATAATTCATGTGTCATTTTAATGTGGTTGTAACTCTAATAAAGAAGTTGCGTTCTTCTTTGCGACAATTATCCATGAAGTTCTTGGAAAAGGGGGAATTGCCAAATTTCCGATTTCAAAGGATTTTCTCCGACCCTTCGAACACATAATGAAGAAAAACAGGTAAGTTTATGCAGGAGTCAATTCTGTCAGAAAATGTAAATTTTCTTGCAGCTTGAAAATCTTTCTCTCAAACAAAATTTGTGGCAGACTTTGTAGATTCTTTTCCAAGTTATAATTTTACGACGAATTTTACACGTCTTTCGATCAATCGCTCTGTCTTGTCTCTCTCTTATAATTGGAAGGATTTGATTAAAATTCTTTCTTCAATATCTTTATGAACTTGGCAACAAGGACTGCAATTTTCAGTCTACGATTTGCTTGAATCAACAACTGGATTTTTCACATTTTAGTTCTTCCACAATTCGAGATATGGTCGTACGATGTGTCACACAATGGTTCATTCTGCAAGCCGCAAACATCAAATCTGGTTGGAAAATGTTTTCCGTTTTTCATTTGGCTGCGTCCGATCATGATGAAGGAATCGTGGAATCGCTTTTCAAACAACAGGTTTGTAGTTTACAAAGAGATTTTTCTAATCTTACCGCCGACCTGTCTATGTCTCTCTTGGGTGAGGTTCTCTGTATCGGTGCAAATTTTAAAAATTTTAAAATAAAATGATTGCATATGTTTGAAGAAATGATGGTGAATCCGTTTCAAGCATGAACGACTTAGACATCTGTAAATATTGAATTAAATTCAAATTGAATTTGAATATCGCTTAAGTAAATGTGTTTCTCGGATGTGACGGAGAACTTCGTTTATTTTGCAACAAGAATTTTATGTGTTCGTTCTTTCCATGGTAATTCAGCCATATTCGTATAAGTTTTCAAGGTAAACTTTATTTACCATAAAGTCGATGGATTATCTTCATGATTCATGAATGATAATTAAACGAGTTAATGGAGAAATGAAATAAATGTATGAAACAGTTTTAGTTGATGCAAATTGCGTCAAAAGGCAAAGTTTTTAAACTTTTAGCCCTGTTTCTCTACTGTTTCAACGTCACTTGCAAATCAAAGCTTTGACAGATTCATTTATCCAAGAAGATTATCAGTGTATAAATTTACATCCTCCATCTCTCTTCAGCCACGATTTTTGAGAAATATTTCTCCGCGACCATCGACTCTTTCCAAGATGCCGTCAAGTGTCTCTCGAATTCGCATGCAACGCAAGTTTCCCGACACGAGTATGGAAGCAATAAGACTGATACGAAATTGCGCCAAATTTCTTTCCGAAATCCTGTAGTACGACAATTGCAAATCTACTTTTCACCTTTGAAATTTATTTGAAATTTTGCAAAATCACATCAAAGCTAACCACTTTGGATCAAATCAAATCCTAATTATCTATTTCAACGCTTTTTCGTGTAGCATTTTTCAATGGCGTCTGTTTTCTTTTCTTATATAAACAGATATTTAAAGACTTTGGTAGAGAATGCTGATATCAGAGCAGGACAGAACTCTGTGAAAGGCTGGTTTCCAGTCCTTTGAACTTTCGTGTATCATCAACCGATGTAAACTAGATGTCAGAACAAGGTATGTGTGGAAATATTGAGTTGTTTGTACTGTATAGATTAGTATGCATTGTATAATTTGAATGTGAGCTATTTTCCATCCATCAACTAGAGGCCTAACCGTGATGTTTGGAAATCATGAAAACATACGGAACACGTTTCTCCAACATTGGTGGCGTGATGTGTTTAAAGTCTTGTTTCGAATTTTCGACAACATGAAACTACCAGACAGACAGATAGATTGGCAGGAGGTTAGAAAACTGTCATTATTTTGCTCTTATTATATGGCAAGCGTCACCCGGCTAAATGGCGCGCTTTGATTCGCTGAAAACATTTTTCTGGTCCATTATTCTCCCGAAATCGACCACGTTTCAAAACGCGTAATTATATAATATGTCGTTATTTTGGTCTTATTGTCTATGATTGCCATAAACACACATTATATCGCAAAAGTCAACTTACATACACGACTATCCAGTTCCACATGGAATAATATTCATTTCATGTGTTCATGTCTATCCACCTTCATTCTCAATCACTCATCCATTTCAACTGTATCCATTTTATTGAATTAAAATACATGAACGCTACCTGTAATAGAAAACCGTAGTAATAGTTGGCCTTTTACACCCAGACAGCGGGTGTAGTTCAATCAATTTTCACTGCGCGAGAGAACTCAAAACACTAAACACGCGTGTGTCTGGATGTAAGATTTGGCTTCAATTATTTGCTTCATGTAGCGTTCCATGTATTTTAGTTCAATGATCTCATATCTCTCCTCTCTATTTCTTATTCACCTTTATCCACTCTCATCTCTAGAGTCTCTACTTCATTCTCTATCCATTCTTATCCTCTTGCATTCTATTCACACCGATTTCATTTTGTGTAAACGATTTGTACCAGTATGGAAGTTTTGAAACACTCGCTTTGTGAAAGTTACCCACCTGTAAAGAATGTTTTGGTTTTTAAAACCGAGGGAGAAGTTTTAAACTACGGGAAGGTCGTTTCCTTTACATAGAATAAAAGTCCGTGTATAAGGTGTTGTATTTCCTCGTTATAAAATGAGACATCAGCTGAGGTTGTTTTGAAATTTGTGATGTTTCTTTATAGAAATCAGAATGGATGACAACTTGTAATCACGCTCAATCTGCTATCATCGATGTTTTAATCAGCATTTTGATATTCTTGCTGAAATTCTTCTTGATGATATGTATGGCCATCTAGAGTGGTGTGTCAAACAAGGTGCTTGAAATTACGCAACGTGTTTGTGCTTGGCATATGCCTTGGTGATTGGTTCGTTGTGTCAGAACCAATCACCAAGGATTGTCCTGCTTTGTCTGTTCATTCAATACATGTCCTGCCTTTCTCGTTCATTCAATATGTCCTGCTTTGCTCGTTAATTGGTGATGTCCCTGCTTTGCTCGTTCATTCAATACATGTCTAGATAACGAGCAGTTAGCGAGGTCAGTACCAATTGTTTGGAAAATCTCGTCATATCCATTGGCAACACGTTCTCCGAAACGTCTGGGAAAAAGACATATCAATGTAAAAACGATATTTGAATCAACTAAAAATTTCACGAACTATTGAAATGTGGAGTCCACTCCACACCGATGTCACTCCTCCGTCATCACCACTCAAGATAAGTACTAGAAATTATCATATACGGAGCAAGGCTGCCCGGATAGCGAGCTAGCCCCGATGATTTCGGGATTGAAAAGACAAAACTTCTGTTAAAATTACAAATGTTTGGAAGCACCACGCTTGGTTGTAATTCAAATTATGGCAAGTTGGTTGTTTTAATTTTTTAAATGTTTTGTGTAGTTATTAAATCAGAATTTTGTGAAATTGCTTGAGAAAATTTATCTGATAATAAGTATTGAATCACTTTTTAAATTTCACTGTAAAATTTCAGACAAATTTTCAACTATTCTG